GCTAAGGAAAATGTCAAAGATATAGAAGAGAGCAAACCAGAACTGGCTGAGGAACACTCATGTATAGGTCTTCAGGTCTGACAGTCAGCTCGTCAGTCAATGGTGGCCAGGCTGGCTTAACATCTCCCCCCTTCCAGGAAACCATACCTGCCTCCCACCCAGTGGGTTATTTTGAAGCAGGTTGTGGAAATCTCATTTTATCTAGGGAAATAGGTGTTGGACTTGTGACAAGAAAATTAATATTGAAACCTGGCCTTTAAAGTCCTCTTCTTTCTGGCTCCCGGCTTTAGCCTATGGATAAAAGGCAAAATGGGGCCGGAGATTTAGCTCAGTGGTTCCGGAGCCTGCCTTGCAAGTGCAAGGTCCCAAGTTCGATTCCCTGTACCAAACAAAGAAACAAAAAAAGGCAAAATGAGCTCCTTTGATTCAGCAGAGAAATCAGGGGCACAGGAGACATTATTGAAAGATGAGAGAACAGCTCCTGTGGCTCCTGGAGCAGGGCTGGCTGCCAGCTTTCCTACTGGTCCTGTCGGGGAAGGTGCTCTGAACTGTTCTTGGTCAGGCTCTCCCTGAAGTCCACTGGTTCTTGCACAGATTTTGTATATGTGCTGCCAAAGCAAGCACATCTTACACAAATTTTAGGATGAAAAAGGTTTTGTTTTATTTTTGTTTTTGTTTGAGAGAGGGTCTCACTATGTAACCCAGGCTGGCCTTGAACTTGCAGTGATCCTCCTGCCTCAGCCTCCTGAGTGCTGGGATCACAGACATGTGCCACCAAACCCAGCTATTTCCCCTCAGTTTACATATTAACTTGGATGTGAAGTTGGACATTTTCGCCCTAAGTATCATGACTTGAAATCTGGTAATCAATAATAAAGTAGAGACATAAAACAGTAATAATTTATGGATCAAGCAAGGTGCATAGGATGGTCCTTAGTGCTACAAACAGGTATCTCTCCCCTACCTGGGGATTCCATGTCACTTGTAAATGTGTGTCCTCCTTGACAGAGTCCCTTGATCCTTTTGACATTACTTTGTTTCTAAAATGTTCTTGGAGGGCACAAAAACAAGAGCCTTGGAGAAAGGCCACGTGTTTTAGAAACACAATAGCAAGTACACTCTGGGAATGAGGGCTCCGAGGTGCAGCCCCAGAGCCGGACACTAGGAGGCAGCAGGCACCAGATGAAATGTTAACTTGCCACAGCCACACAAAGGAAACCACTTGCTTTTCAACTCCAGGACAGCAGGGTGTAAATGCCAAACTTCCACCTCTAGAATCCAAAGATAGCGTCACAACCTTCAGTGTCTTTTCCATTGAGAATTCTTCGATTAATTCTTTTTGTGGGAGGGTGTCATTTAAATACGTTACTGCCTGGAACCACACACTTTTGTAGATTTGCTGATTTTAGGCATCTATTAACTTGGCAGCAGTTTAACCGGATAATATTTAATTTCAAATTCAAACTCTTTATGTTCCTCAAAATGACTATTATCTGTCTTCTCTCTGCGTTTGGTGAAGAAAAAAATTTTTTTGTGGAATAAGGCAATCAAATAATTATCCGAACAGTTAACTCAGCTATGGGGGATCTTAAGAGTGTCCCTGACTCACATGCTCATCCAGTCATCCATTGGCACGGATTCCTGAGCACGTCCATGTGCCAATCCTGTCCTACACCATGGACTGCAAAGACAGACCAGACATCGCCCCTGGTACCAGGAAACTCAGTCCAGGTTTAGAGAGCAGGGGGTGTGTATAGCAGACTAAAGACAAGTGATCACAGGAATGTGTGATGAGTGTGATGATAATAAAGGGAAAAAGATGAGCTGGGCCGAGAGGGGATAAGGTGGGCCGTTATGGGGGGGATTGGGAAGAGTGCAGAAAAACTTGCAAGAGGAGATGCTGCTTGACCGGAATCTTCAAGCAGCAGGCACAGTCCGCATTCCCAGCAGAATGAGAGAGCCCAAATCATGGACAGGGCCAGGGAGTGCCAGGCCTCTGGATGCCCAGGAGTGTAGGAATTGATTTGTATTTCAGATCAGCGACTCTGCCAGCAGAATGGAGATTGGAATGGAAGGGTGCAACCTACCCATGGAGAGAGCAGCAAGGAAGCTATGGTGGTGACAGAGACCATAAGTCCTTATGGTGGGGAGGGGCAGAGAGGAGTGGAAGCATTGAACTACATTCAAGATGGTGGGAGAAGCCAGGTGACCAGTGAAATAGGATGACGGAGACAGTCCTTACAGCAGGAGCAGCAGGTTTGGGTGGGAAAAGGGGAGGAGTATTACTTTGATCTCAATTCAGTTTGGTAAGCTTGTGGGCACAGCAGGCAGATGTATAGATCATTCTGGAGCTTAGCACAGAAATCTGAGTAAAAAGTACGATTTAGGGAGTGACTGAATTATACCAGTGACAGAGACCACTGGGAAACAAGTTTAAATGTTGCAGAGTGTAAATGCATTTGCATCGGGGAGGAAACCAGGAAAGTGTGGTCACGAAGCCCAAAGGCACTCGTGGATAGGGGCATTCAAAGAGAAAAAGCTGCCGGTGGTCCCTGCATTCCTTGTGTTTAACACACCCAGGAAAAATAGCAATTAGACTTGCTCCAGGGTGTGATTCATCTGTCTTGTTTCCATGGGACCTGGAATAACACAAGGACATGATAGGTGTTTCTTAATTATATGTAGGTACATCCCCCCATGGAGATAATGTGCGACTTCAGTGAAGAATAGGGTACATCTGTATGTGCTGAGGAAGTTAATTTCACTTATACTAGTAATAGAAATTAATGGGTTTTGTTTTGGTATATTGGTACATGCATATAACATACTTCCATTATTTTCAACTTGTGTTTGTTAGAGGAATAGATTTAGTCAATATAAAATTTATATGATTATACGAAAGATTTACCAGCTAGGCTCACAAGGGCCACCTGAGGAGCCACAGATGGAAGAGTGGAGAATGGCCATTTGCGAGCCACAGGGTTGAAGAACCCTGTCGAAGGTCAAAGGCCTGAAGCTCACTGCAGAGTCTGCTGCGGGTCCGTGGCAGCAGGCTGAGGGCTCTGTGTCGGAAGGCTGAAGAGCCTGCACTGAGGACTGGAGGCTAAGGATCAAAGGCAATGGCAAAGACCAGAGCTCCTCTGAGGTAGAAAAGGGCAGGCTTCCTCCTTCTTTCTCTTTTTATTCCATCCAGCCTGCAAGCCTCTCGGTTGGTGTCACCCTCATCTGCCGTGAGTCTTCCCACCTCAGTTTTCACAAACTTCTCCTCAGTTACCCACAGACACACCCAGAGCTCCCTAACCTGCTGGGGGCTCTGACTCCAGCCAAGCTGACACATCACAGCTAAGGACCACCCCCCGCTACCCATCCTCGTTTGATCCCCTTCCTCCTTGTTAATCATCTATCTTCTACTTTCCTTTCATTTCCCCCTTCTTGCTTATTCTTTTAGGTTGCTCATATAAGAGAAACATGCAACATTTAACTTTCTGAGTCTGGCTTAGTTCACTTAACGTGATTGTCTCCAATTCCATCCATTTTCTTGAAAATGACACGACTTTATTCTTCTCTGACCAAATGATATTCCATTGTGTGTGAGTGTACCAGGTTTTCTATATCCATTCACCTGCTCACAGGTGTCCAGGCTTTCCCCACAGCTGTGAATGTCCCCATGAAAAGCGTGGGTATGCAGGTGTCACTGCAGGACACAGCTTTCTGTTCTCTTGGGAATGTGCCGAGAATCAGTACAGCCCGATCAAATGATGTCGGTATTCTTAGTCTGTTAAGGAACTAGAGCAAGATTTTTAAGGTCATATTAAGTAAAGAAAAAGTGTATACATTTGAGGCTATTGATGTAAATGCATGTTTAAAGATACACAAGTAATTGTTATATAAGTAGCATACTTTTTATAATGATTTTAGGATAATAATAGCTGATACAGACATAGCACTATGCTCCAGAAACATATTTTAATTCATTTGATCCTTCTTATTGTGCAGGTACTACCACATTTATACCACTGTGGAAACTGAGGCAAACCACACAGCTCATTAGTGGCAGAGGTGAGAATTAAAGCCAAGCACTGCAGGTTTTTAACCTCCCTAACATGGCCCCTTGCTCAGGAAATGTCAACTGAGTTTGCTCCAGAGTAGGAGATGAGGAAGAACGATTTTACTTTTTTCATACTCTTGACTATTCAGAATACCATTATTTGATCACATGCATGATTACCTTAGTGATAAACTAGAAATGTTTTTGAGAATCAGGCTCCAGGCACCCAGGGGCCTCGCTGGGAGTGCAGTGCCTGGTGTTAAGATGGGAGACAATTGGACGCGTTGAAGTCCCATCATCCTAGTTTGTTCAAGGGAAAGAAGAAGGAGATACTGTTTCATTTCCATAGAATTAAATTTCAGTCCAGAAGAAGGTAGCACCTAAAAGTACAGTAGCCAATTCTGGCTTTGGCTTTTCTGGGACACATTTCTTTATGAAGTCTCTCTCTCAGATGTCCCCCTCATGGTTCTTGTACACACACTGCTCCGCAGTATTTTGTTTCTGTTTTTTAGCTTAATTTCTATTGATTAATTGATTGCAATGCTGACCATCAAACCCAGGGATGCTCTGCCACTGAGCTATACACCCTTAGCTTGTTTGTTTCACTTTTTATTTTGAGACAGATCTTTCTAAGTTGCCCAGCCTGGCTTTAAACTTATGATCCTCTTGCCTCAGCCTCCTGAGGAGGTGGGGTTACAGGTGTTGAGTTACCATGCTCAACAATCTCAATTTTTTGACTAGGTAATGCATTCCTATAAATAAAAAAAATTCAAATTAGCAAAATAGGTATAAATGAAGAAGTCTAACTTCCAGCCATGCTGTCCCCCTCCCTGGGTAGTTGCCTTACAACTACCGATTGGTTACATTCTTATATACTTTTCCAGTGACTTCTGGGCAAAGGCAAGCACATAGACACATATTTCCATATCTCACATCTATTTTACACAGCTGGGCTGACTGCTTCATGCCTTTCTCCATCAGCACCTGGACGGTGTCTTCTGCCCCTTAGGTGAGTCCCACCACTCTGCCTGAGTTCCTGCCTTTGACTTCACTGCTGGCATCCTCAGCCTTGGGCCAGTGTTTCCATTTGCTCTTCTATCTTTAGACTTCTTCCTAGCCATCAATTCCTAGCAACTGCCTGTGTGTCCTTCCCTGCTCCCCTGGGACAGGCCACAGGCTTCCTCCTTCCTTGCCTGGGTTCCTGAGGGCACAGAGCAGATGGCAGGACCCCACTGCCCTTGGGGCAGCGGCTCACACCTGTTCCTTCTGCTGATTAAAAACAGGCGCACAGGCACCACTGATTGCATCTCTTGTCACTGGTAATTGTCATCTGTTGGGCACAGGTGTGCCGGGGAGGAAGCCCAGGAATAACTGCTCACAGTTCCATTGTCAACACCTGTTGGTGGAGCAGGTACTGATTGAACAGGTATGAAGTTAAGTGTTTTCTTCCTGTTTTTATTTACTTTTTAATTGTATGCTTTAACGTGGCTCCATGCCTGTGGTCTGGTTGCTGACTTGTGATCCCGCTGAAACTTAGGATCATCTTGGGGAACTGGGGTTCGGAGAGGAGAGAAGCCTCCCCCAGCTGGCCTGGAAGGGGTGGGTGCTGTCTTCAGTGGAAAGATTGCTGTGGGTTAGCGACTGTCAGTCACCATGAAGCGGGCGGACCCAGGGGAGGGAAGCGTCTGTGTTCATGGAAGTGCTGATGCTCGGCCATCTGCTTCTCCTGAGCAAGGGCCCGGGCCCCGCTTTGGCCGCCTGTCCCCCGTGTGGTCTGGTCTGCTGCCAACATGCCCACCCAGCTGGAGATGGCCATGGACACCATGATTCGCATCTTCCACCGCTACTCTTGCAAGGAAGGGGACCGATTCAAGCTCAACAAGGGGGAACTGAAGCTGCTCCTGCAGGGAGAGCTCACCGAGTTCCTCTCGGTGAGTCTCGGATCTTCTGCCGCACTCGGGCGGGCTGAGTGAGGAAGGGCTTCAGCGACATCCTGTCTTGTGATTCTGTCTCAAGCACAGTACAGTTTGTGTTGAGACTCAAAGTGCAGAAGAAGCAAGCACTAGAGACCTTTATTTTTGGTGTATGCCTGCAGGTACCCTTTCCATACTCCCTGGGGTTAGGGGCTTCCAAGGGTTGACAATTATGTTGAGATTTTCATCCATTATTCAACATTTTGGTAAGCAATCAAAGGTATAGCTAATTATACCAGGGGTAATAACTAGTTATACCTGGAATGTTGTCCAGAAATCTGTAAATTAACATCATGTATTGTGCCTGACATGCAGCCTGGGTACTTTATACTGTGGCAGCAACTTTGCTAGTGAATGTCAAATACTTCGGGAGCTTTCTTAGCCAAGCACATGGCAATTGGGGTTATGAAAAGGACACATCTGGCTAGGGGCCAGCTTGGTAGCAGATAGATTCATTCCTCAAAATAGCCAGGAGTCCAGGACATCTGTATCCCTCTGAGGAAACCCCTTGCTCTATGTTTAAGGAGTTGTCTGGGATGCTTTTTAGTACAACGGACTATTGTCACACAGTGTCACTGCCCCAACCCTCCACTGAGACTGCGGTAATTGTGATTTTAACACTTCTTTCCACATCCTCTATAGGAAAAGCTTAAAGCAAAAAATTATTTAATATAATAATTCTTTCTTTTTCTTAAATTCTTTTATTGGTACATTTCAGGTATACAATACATTTACATTTATCATTATGTGTTTGTACCTGTACATGATGCATCTTGGTTCTCATTTTTTCCCCATTACCTGTGCACCCTTCACCCCCTCCACCCTTCCCTATTTACAAAGACTTTGTTTCCATTTTTTTCTTTTCTCATAATTTTTTCCTTTCCCTTCTTGAGAAACTGAAAGTGTAAATAAGGATGAAAGCAATTAAAATGAATAATTGATAATTTGAAATAGGAAGAAAAGGTCCAAAGGGGGAGGGGAAGTGGGAGGGGAAGGGGAAAGGAAAGAAGGGAATAGAATACTTCTTGTGGCACTTGGAACCTGGCACATTGCTATATTCAAGTGAAATTTTTTGTTTTTGGTACTGGGGATCGAACTCGGGTGCTTGCGCTTGCACAGCAGGCAGCGAATTCAAGTGAAATTTATAATTGTTTGGCTCAAAGTGATCTTGATCAATTTAAGTTTCCAATGACTTTAATGGCTGTCAGCTAATGACAAGGCATTGGGGAATTCCTGGGGGAAACAAAGTTTTTTAAGTAACACTTGTCTTCACCTCTAGTCTTAGGAGTGGGTGCCCCCTCATGACCTCATGGCCTCCTGCATGCTCCCTGCTTTTCTTCCCACCCATAGCTTGTAGTCACCCTTATCTGCCCTTTATTGGTTGCCTTTTTCATGTATGTCGGACATTGCACTAAGTAGGGTGTTCTATGTCCCACACAATATTTGGGGCCTACTTGTATTAAAAAGTTATATATTCTTTATCTGAAATTCAAATTTCACTGGGTGTTCTGATTTTTGTTGGCTAGATCTAGCAACCCTGGTGCTAAGCACTTTCAAAATTGTGTTGAAGTGGGTAAATATTATTTTTCCCATTTTACAAATAAGGAAATTTGAAAATATTAAGTGATTCCTCAAAATGCTGTTGTTGGTAAATGGTAGAGCTCCCCCAGGGTTTCTTCTGACATCAAAGCTTCTGTCTCATGTCCCGGGGCTGTGATATCCTATAAACGCATTTCTAGCATCAGTAGCTCATTTTGATGAGCTGCTGTTTGCTCTTTTTGGTCTTTAAGTCTGAGCCAACATTATACAGGCCTGAGACAAAGACTGGACTCTTTGAGAGTATGTGCCTGGCTCAAACCTTTCTGCAGCTAGGCTCTTGGGAATTGCCCTCAGCTGCTAAAAATGGAAATTAAAGGAAAATAAAATTTCAGTTGTCATCCTAAACCTCAAAGCTTGGGAGTTAGAAATTTTCTTTTTCTTTTTAGTGCCAAAAGGATCCCCAGTTGGTTGATAAGATAATGCAGGACCTGGATGCCAATAAGGACAACGAAGTGGATTTTAATGAATTCGTGGTCATGGTGGCAGCTCTGACGGTTGCTTGTAATGATTACTTTGTAGAACAATTGAAGAAGAAAGGAAAGTAAAGATAAGTAGTTAGCTAAGTGAAAGGCAAAAATATATACAAAGTTATTGACTTGCTGCTCATACTCTTCAGATCTATAGACACATTAATATCATTTATAGATTTAATATACATATAAGTAATTGCTATTGCTGGTATTATTAAATTATGTGCACCTTAATATATTGATTTACATAAACATTCCAAATCTTATATGTTCTGTGAATTTAGCTATATTATTAAAGATACTGTATGCATTTATTTCACAAAGAGAGATCATAAAAATTTAGCTATTTTCAAATGATACTGGAATTTGGTGAATTTTAAAGTTATTCTCATCCTTAAATTGTTTCTGAACTTCTTACCCTGTTAAAAAAAATAAACTAGATCACTCTTGTGATTCTGCTTCAAATGGAAGAAGCTGTGAGGGTCTGTAAGCAGAAAGAGGAGGGAAGGTATTTTATGGATAGATTCAGGGCTGGGGCCTCTGTCTGAAAGAGCTGAAGCCAGCAATCCTCGGGGGTTGGTGTGTAAATACCCTCCCTATCCCATGGGCTGGATCATTCTGAGACAGGACTGTTCTTGCATTTCCTAGTGCTTCCTCCTGGGGAAAGCTTCAGTGCACAGTGAGGACGCTCCATTCTCTTCTTGGATCATTACAGCACCCCAACATTTGTTCCTGCACCTCTGAAATAAACAACTTGCTTGCAAATGCTGTCTCAGGGTCTACTTCTGGGGAACTTGGGCTATGACCAATTCCTAGGAGAATTTTAAGGGAGTGATATGCTTATATTTCTACTTTGAAAGGATTCCTCTGGGTACTGGGTGAAGAAAGAAATGTAGAGGGCAATCGTGGAGGACAGAGGTGAGTTAGGAAGATGCTGCTGTGGTCTGTGGAAGACACAGTGGTGTCTCAAGCCAGGGTTTCAGCAAAGGGGGTGAGGAGGAGCCCTTGGATGACAGTGTGGGACTGCATAACCTTTGTTCCTTTTCTCCAGCCCCATTGTGATTAAATGTGAGTTAACGGATAAAGATGCTTATTAGTTTTGGGACACTAGATAAAAAATCTGTAACAGACCTAAAGTCCCAAAGTAAACTACTCAACTCCTTGTTTTTAGAACAAGCTGCAAATGTCTGCTGACCATCAATACGTGACAGTCAACCACTAACCTTTGTCCCCTTTTCTTTAATTCTATATGTTAACTTCCCCCTCAACCCCCTATAAAAACAGCCTCGGACTCTGAGCCAGCTGCCTCTCTAAGCTATTTTGCTTTGGGAGTGCCGTCTGGCCAGACTAATAAAGGTCTGTTTTATTTTCCAACTTGTCCGGTGTGTTCCTTCCCGGGTGTTCTTCGCTGTAGTCAGCTCCTCGGAGCGTTTGGTAAGGCCCTCGGTCTTACATTCTGAAGGCACCGCTGGGATTCCCGGGTGTGCTTCACTAGTCAGCTCCTCAGAGCGCTTGGTAAGGCCCTCGGTCTTACAACGGTGCTTTGGAGGAGAGACCCAAAGGTCCTGCGGAAGGAGGCACCGCACAGGGTGGCAGCAGCCACTGCTGTTTGCCTATCTGACTTCCATTCTCCCTCTCTCCCACACAGCAGAACCTAGGGTTGTGTAAAGCAGTTATGTACCCAGCCCAAAAGCTCTATTTCCTAGGTTTTCACCCAGCTGGAGTGGGTCCGGTAGCACACTTCTGGGCAGTGAGATAAGCAAAAGTCTCTAGGAATTTCTGGGACGATTTTGCTATTTCTGCTATAGGTTCTGCACCCTCCACCTTGTTAGTTCCTTCACTTCCTTTCCATTAGAATGTGGGTGTGAGGCTGGAAGTGGGGCTACCATCTTGCAGCCATGAGGACCGTGCAGAAGAAAGGTAGAAGATGGGACATTGCTGTCAGTGTCAGCCCAGTTCTCTGCCTCTGATCTCCCCCTTATTTGAAAAGCTGACTGGTTAAGTTGGACTCTGTTACACACAGCCAAAAACAACCTCTAGTGTTTAGATTTTGGCTCAAGCAAATAAAGCAAATGAGTAAATGGGACCCAGAGAAAGGAGGAACAGCTTTGGTGTGGGGACCTAGGGAAGAGGGTTGCTCTCTCTCTGCCAGCTCTTGGGCATCCAAATGGTGATATTGTCTTAGTTGCTTTCTCCTTGCTGAGACAAAGTACCCAACACCCACAGCTCTAAGTAGGAAAGGTTTATTTGGCTCAGTTTCTAGAGGTTTCAGTCCATGGTCGGCTGGCTCCAAGGGACCAATGCAGGGCAGCCTGGCAGAGGGGCATTGCAAAGGAGAAAGAGCTGGTAGCATGATAGCAGAAGAAAGGAGATCCAAGGAGGAGAGAGGGAGAGTAACACTTCCAAGCTACACCACCAGTGACCCACCCCTCCCACCAGTCTTCACCTCCCAACATCACATTTAGGACCAATCCATTGATGAATACCATGCCCTCATAATCTAATACCTCCCCCAAGCCCCACCTTTGAGTGCATAAAGCTTTGAGGGGACATCAAGATAAAAACCATAACAGATGTCAAACAGGAAGTTACAGTGGTACCTCGGTTCACAAACTCAATTCTCTCCACAATTCTGGATGCAGATCAAACTAGATGAGAACCAAATCAAATTTCCCCATAAGGTAAACATCAAATCTAATTGTTAAATTTGATTGAGTTCTTGTCCAATTTGGTTTACAACCAGAATCGTGGAAAGAATCAAGTTTGTGAACCGAGGTATTGATATGAACAAATGTAGAGCTCCAGGTAAAGAGGGGCCTGGAGATAGAGAATAATAAAAGTCCAACCACTGTCAGGAAAAGGAGAAGCCAGCAAATGATCCAGCTAAGACATGTCCAGGGAGAGAGGCAGACAGCCAGGGGAACATGGTGGTTCAGAAGCCCGGTGTCATGGCTTATATCTAGATGGACCCCCACAGCCTCATGCACTCATAGGTGGGACTTTTTGGAAGTGGATGAATCACAGGGGTGTGATACTGGGATTAAGGGTGCGTGGTACTGGGTTAGTCCACTGATTGGTTTAGCATAATTCTGGTGTGGATAATGGGAAGGCTCACCCTCGATGTGGTATAGCCTGGAAAGAATAAAAAGGGAGTCTCTACCGCTGCTGCTGCTGCTTTCTACCTTCCCTGCCATGGACTGTTTCTCCTCTGCCATGCCATTCTGCCTTGGAGCCAGCTGACTGGACTGAGACTGCTACACACTATGAGCTAAATAAGCTTTCCTCCTTTAGCTTGTGGATGTTAGGTATTTTGTCCCAGCAACGAGAAAATAACCAAGACACCTGGAGAAGAAAGTGTTTAGAGGAGTAGAAAAGGCAAAATTCAACAAGAGGAGGTAGAGAGCATCATGATAGCAATGATGCAGACTGGAGACATGTCACTTATAAAAGGGCCGATCTCCCTCCTGGCAGGTCATAGGGGCTCCTCAGTAAATACTTATGTTATGAACAAATGAAGCAACCTGCCAATTGTTGGTTGACTTTCTAGAGCTAAGACCTCTCTATTTCCCCCCTTAAACAGAATACTGTTTTTCATCTCCAAACCAGTTCTTAGCAGATAGTCTAGGAAGGATTTAGAGAGCAGAACATTCAAGAGAAGAAATGCACATTCTTGGCAGTGGCTTGCTCCTGTCTTTCAAAAGGATAGAAGGAAAATAAAAGAATTGAACACATATTTTGGATGTGTTTAGGTTCTTTTCTTACAAGTTAATACATAATTCATGCAAGAGAAGGTCTGAACATTTCTCAGTGGCCTTTAAACTTTTCATTTTAATTTGGTCCAAAGTTCACATATTCTAAAGTAGGTCACAAAATATGAAAAGTAAATCCAAAATTCTCCTCATGTTCTATTCCAGGAAGGACATAGAGAAATAAACGGAAAACAATGTTCATTTCATGGTGCTGGTAAAAATCAATCAAAAGTGCCAAAAAGCAATTTATGTCTCAAATTAGATTTCAAATAAGTAAGAATCACACAATATATCAAAAGTCATTCTCCAGTGAGGAAAATCTTTCTTTTTTCTTTTTTTCTCTCTTTCTTTTTTTGGTAAGGTACACACAATAATTTTGTAGGAAAATTGACTGTTTCCTACATCCAAGGGCACTGCCTTTGTATTTGCTGAAGTTTAAATAAATTTGAAGTTCAAACAACATTCAAGGACCAGCTCTAAATGAGTACCTTTTAATGTTTATCCTTTCCTGACTGATTGTTTAGACAGAATAGACTAGAGGAGGCAATCACCTAAGTCTGCTTGGGGGCTGGTGTTTGAGATGTAACTGACAGTGTCAACAGCTAGAACATGAAACACAATCTTAAAATTTAATTTTGAAACTAGGTGTTATCCTTTTTTTCCCCAAGGAGAGTGGGGTCAGAAAAAGGTTTTCAAGGACCATGCCTTGAGTCAAGTCTTGGTGAGGCAAAGAAATGGGGGGGGGGGCGTTTTTGAAGAAAGAGAACATGAACATTGCTGTTTGGGTAAGGTACAGCAGGGCCTGCACAGGGGACACCAGTTCTACCCTGGTGGCCTCGGGTGTGGGTGAGGGGTGGCAGGAGAGGTCAGTAGGACTCAGGGTCAAAAAAGGCTATGAGTGCTAAGGTGAGAGCTTTGATGTTTATCCTGAATATTACGAAAAACTATTATAGGACTGTGTACACCTGGTTACTTAAAGGAGCTTTATTTTTTCTAAATATCTTCCTAAAATATTTAAATCTCTAAAGCAATGGCTTTGGCCACTTACTCCACTTACATTCACTCATACTATTGTATTTTAAAAAATACAAATAAATAAGCCTTACTCTAATAAAGAGTCTGGAGATGAAACCCAGGCATCAACATGTTTTTGCACAAAAAGTTGATTCTCAATGCAACCAGGATTGCAAATCACTTCTTTTAGGGTGAATAGCTTCAATCAGTACAATGTCTGAGTGAGAACTGTTGGGGACAGCAGGTGTTCTAATTTCAATTGCACATGAATCACCTGCAGCTCTGCATTGCTAGGTCTGGGTGGAGCCCAGGATTCTGCATTCCTAACGACTTCCCAGCAATATGCACAGTGCTGTAGAAACGGAGAGACTGACAGGATTCTTGGCTGAAGAGAAAACTCTTGAATGGCAGTTGGGAGGAGTAGTTTGGGAACTCAGGCACCCGTAGAATAAATAGTTATTGCTGGATCATATTCCCTTCAGAAGACATAAGACAGCACACGACAGTAGGGACAGTAGGGACAGAGAAGGCCAGGGAGAAGGGAGAGTGGTGGGAGAGATCAGGGAAGAACATCCTCTAGCACCCTGGAATGCAGGGAGGAAACTAGCAGATGGCCAAAGATTTTGGGCAAGTTGCTTATGTTCTTTAGACCTCATTTTTATGGCACACCTCAGTACCCTACCCACAGCAGAGGCAACAAGGAGTCCTTATGAATGCTGGAACTCCCAGGTCCCACCTGAGTCCCAGTGAATCAGACTAGAGGAAGAGGAGGGGCAAGAATCTGCATCATGGTAGAACACTTGATGACTAGGAACTGTGGTGCTATGTGGTAGCAGTGGTGGTATGGCGAACCTCTGTGGTCCAGCCTCAATTCCCTAGCACACGGGTTTTGTCCATCCTGCAGTCTCAAATTGGCCTTTACCAGTGGAGTCTGCAGGTTTTGCCACAGGAAAAGTGGGGCGCTCCCACATGGATCCTTCGCTGGGCTTC